TAAATTCTTCATGATACAATGTATTAAGTGGAAGCCATTTACCAATACTTTTGAATTTACTGATAACTTACCATTATGCAGACCTTAGTTAAAATTTACTATGAAGTTAAATTTGGGCTTGCTTGTCAGAGCTCTGGACTACATGTACACTGTACATGTTGTAATCTTAGAAGTAGCTTGCCTGAAGGGCAAGGAAATTTGTTTTATTTTCATCTCACCATGTGTATTTTGTCTTTGCAGAATTTGAAACCAAAGTCACCAGAGGGACAAATAACAACATCAATTACGGAAAACAGTAACGACAAACCAAAAGCTCCCCCAAAGAAAAGCATCTCGATGACCTCAGTGGTTTCATCAGCAGAGATTTGCAGAATATGTCACTGTGAGGCAGAACCCGACCAACCTCTGATCTCTCCATGTTTGTGTGCTGGGTCTTTGCAGTATGTTCATCAGAGTTGCCTCCAGAGATGGATCAAAAGCTCAGACACCAAGAAATGTGAACTCTGTAAATATGAGTTCCGCATGGAATCAAAAATGAAGCCCATAACCAAGGTTAGTTGCTGAGTGCACAAGTTTAAAAAAAGAACTATATGGGTAGAAGACAATGTACACATACACTGTACATTAATTCACTGTAAACCACTGTATGCTGGTACACATATTTGACAATTTTTGCATTCTATGCTTTGGAATGTTGCTTTGATGTGAGAAACCTAGTTCATCTCTAAGGGAGGGTTAGTTAAACAAAGTTAAGCTGTTGTTTAACAAAACCCTGTGCTTGAATTTTAGGTAAATCTTTTATCTGAAAATTTATTTTTGTGAATGTAGTGACAACAGGGCCGAAAGCTAGGGGTGGAAGGACATTTATTTCATGAAAACAACCCTCTTATAGAGAATAAGGAAGGCCCACTGCTTGCATAAAACCACAGTTTGGTTTAGACTCTGTGGTAGTAAATGGCCTCTAATGTTTGCAAACGGCACAAAAAAATCAAATAGTTTAGTTTGGAAAAACGGTTTGTTTTTTGGGATAGATTCAACTCCAGGTGTCACTTTCTGTTTCCCTTCTCTGTTATTCCTTTGTCTTTATCTCATTTTTTCCCAATATCACAGTAAACATGTGCATTGAAGTATTTTAAAACTCTCTTTATTTTAAAACAGTGGAAAGCTCTTGATATGACAAGAAGCGAGCGCCGCAAGATCCTCTGCTCAGTTTCATTTCATGTGATTGCCATCACATGTGTGGTGTGGTCACTGTGGGTTCTTATTGAGCGCACTGCTGAGGAAATCAGGGAAGGGCAGTTGGATTGGCCTTTTTGGACCAAACTGGTGGTGGTAGCTATTGGTTTCACTGGAGGATTGGTTTTTATGTATGTCCAATGTAAAGTGTATGTCCAACTCTGGAGGCGCCTGAGAGCATTTAACCGTATAATCTTAGTCAAGGATGTCCCACAAGAAGGCCCTGAGAATATCTAGCCGAGGGCCCCTCTTTGCTGTAAATAGATGTCATAGTGCTGAGTCCAAGGTGAGGTTTCTGTTTTGAGCAGAATAACTCTCTCTTGTGCTATGGAGTTTATGTGGATGTTGGGCCATATAGATATTTCAGTAGTGTGTGACAGGCTCTCTCAGCTGCAGAAAATCTGACAAGGGATCAACAAGTTTTGTGACCCCAAGTAGTCCACAGAACTCTTCAAAGTGTGATATGATGATGCCCTGCTCTCTCCAAAATTGTGACTGCACAGTATAAGTGTCTTGTCGCATATAGGCCAGCAGTCTTTCTGAACTTTTGGGGGTCCCCAACTGCTGAAGTGAATGTATACGATGTAGCAATCACTGAATAGTGTTTAGTTAGTTAGATGGAAATAATTGGTCATACAGCCTTCAGAAAAATCTTAGTTGAAAGAGTGGGTAAATTACTTTAAACATGACTCTAACAAAATGTTTTAAAATCTCAGTATAGGAAAAGTGCCTGTAGGGGATAAGTAATGAACTGCAAGTAAACTTGTTGGAAAAAATTATAGTCACATGCATACAGAGAAATTTTTAGAGTTACATTTTTTTTTGTAACATGTGTTGTAATGACAAATGAAAGGGTGCTTCATCTTAGCAAGGAGTTGTAACTAGGTAACAAAATTGTGTCTAGCATTCTCTTTGAATTGCATGTACATTATGTATTATCATGATAATTATTGTAATATTATCAGTAAACCACTGTCCATTCATGAATTACAGCACAGAATTATTTTAGTTCTTTAGAATTCACTACGTACCATAAATCATGAGCTACATGTATGCATGGTAATGTTTACGGGTTTACAGTACTGCTCAGATACATTTTAACTCAGCAGATGCATTTTGTATACTCAGAGGCAGGGTCTTCAGATGCACGTACCTCGCTAGTGGCTTTAGAGTATGTACAGGTAGATGTCTAAAACAACTTGTGTCTCAAACTAAAGACATCAAGAATTTCATTTTTCTCGAAAAATATGCTAGTGGCTTTTGAGTACATATAGGTAGATGTTGAAAACAACTTGTGTCTCAAACTGAAGACATCAAGAATTTCATTTTTCAAGAAAAACATACTCTTAAGTCACAAAAAAATTCAAATCAATTCATCATTGTGAAGGCTGATTGTGGGAAAAATTTGTAACAATGCATATGCAGATAATTCAACCTGTAAAGTGTACAGGAGGTTTTTGAATATATCAGTCAAAGTGTTGAAGGGCATCACAACATCATCAAACAATGATTTGGAGACTTGTGCTCAAGAGGTAACTAAATCCTACTGGATAGAGCAGAGATACAGTAGGATTACAGTTGGGGAGAGACTTTGGTCACTGAAGGTGATATTTGTATAACTTATCTCACCTGTCTGTGCTCTTGTCACATAGTTTTCTTCATTTTCTGTTTAAAAAAAAATTAAATTCTTACCTGGTATGAAACTGGGTAAATTTGTTGTTTTGCCACAAAAAAAATATAATAAAAATAAACTGTAAGTTCTTAACTGATATTGAAGCCAGTTTTTTTTTTCTTTTCTTCATTTTCAATCGTTAAAATCAGATTTTTTTGTACAGCATATTGAATAAAGCACATGTAAGCTGTGTACTGTTGAATGAAATATCCATTTTAAGTGAATGTAAAGAATTAACCATCTAAATTGAGACAGGATGTTGTCTGGTACTTGATTGTCTGTGTTGTGGAAGTCACCCTAAGGGCAAACAGTTTCTTCTTTTCCAATGATTTTCATTTATCCTTCCACTTGGAGATATCTAGCTGGTGTTATCTTGGTGTAACACGAAATTCTTAAAACAGATTAACAAGGAAATGTACATCAGCTGAATAGGGGAATTTAAGAGAATCACAAGTCAGTCATTAGTTGTCAGGGCAGAGCTGACTAACGTTTGCGCATGGCTCGAACTTTCGTGGGCTTACGTCTAAAACCATAGCAATACCAGTAAAGCGGTGGAATTTTTGAAAACATTGAAAAGCTGTCCAATTTCACAGGTGAAGAAGGGAGTAGAAATATTATGTTTAAAACTTTTGATTAATTCTAACCTTCAACGGAGGCACAAGATATTTTGTGAACACCTCAGTTTTATCCACAAACTGATGGATCGTTGCAATCGTGAGAATACGAAAATTATGTCAGCGTTGTGCTGGGTGGTCCTTGGCGATAGTTATATACTCTAGTTCCCAGAAGAATGGTTTAAATTGATGTGAATTGTCAACGATCTGAATTCTTTTTTTTTTTAATTCCGCCATTGTTACTAACGTTTGTAATGCAATAGAATTCGGATTCGTGACATGCGCAAACTTTATTCTGTTATTTAGGAAGTTACATGGTGAATGGTTTGAGGTACTGCTTTGTAGATAGCAGTCAACCAGCGATTTTTCTCAGGCATCAGTAAAGCATGTGCCAGCATTTATCTACCTGAGTGTAGTAGTTATAAACTGTATTTTAACTGAAACGTATCCTAATTGGACATAAATGACGAGGGTGTAAATATAGCATTTCTTCGAGTTATTTTTGTATCTTGCCTGTCAATCCACCTTCCACAAGTAAAATGTAAATAAGTAAAAAGTTTAAATAAAGTTAACTGCTTGAATTTTGTTTCTATTATTGTTATTATTATTATTATTATTAGTAGTAGTAGTAGTTTTAGACCATCTTGATTTGAACTATTCTGCACCTCGCGGATTTAACTAGTTTTACTTATTTTAAACTAACCTTTTACTCCCCAACATCATAATGCATATTCCCCTGACTGTCTTTATTCATTTCCTAAGGTGTTGGCAAGGCGCATTTGTTTAACAATTAAGAGCCTCACTAACTGGTAAATATTTCCTGTATTGTTGTGACTTCAGTGAGCGATTCAGGGTCGTTGTAGGGAGAAATTATATGCTTATCACTGTGGGGTTAAAAGGGTTGAAAAAAGATTTGATCCTCGATCGATAAATGTACAACCAAGAAAAAAAGAGGGACGTAAGAAGGTATCGGCGTATAAGCGCAGAAGTGAGTCACTGCTGCCCTACTTCCTCACGTCTTTCCCCTTCTCTTCCCCCCCTCCCTTTCCTTCTCCCTCCCTCTGAACGATTTGCAAGCCCTCGACACGTGACTTCTACGTCATGGCTGAATTTAAAACTTTCCAATTAGACACATTTAGGTTAAATTTGTACGTGGAGGCGAATTTGACGAATTTGGTCTTGTGATGAATGGGCCCTTATTGTCCGCCATAGTGTTAATAGCTAGGTTTCAACAAAAATGACGTACTTTGTAATAATTGTGTTAATAACTGTTAAAATTGTAAAAAAATAAATTTTTTGTTACATAAAAATCTCGCCCAGAGGTTATGAAATATGCAAACCTGATCTCCTTTTTTCCCTCCCATCAAAGCGCGCAATCCCGAGCAAGAAATCCCAAGCAACCAGGGCAATTAGAATACGGAGTTTGTTTCTTCCCGCTCGTTTTCTGGACCAGTCATATTAAAGATGTACACATTTGCAATCGGCGACGTCACTTTATTTCATCTTATTAGTCCCGACCCAATTATTTACTTCAATAACGTAGCCTTCCTTCTACACGCTGACGGGCTCATAATCAGCTGGTTCCTTGTCGGAGGCGTACCCATAAGGATCGTCGAGGTAACCTCGCCTTCCCTTTCGTGCTGATGGCGGGAGTCCACGGAAGCCTCTTTTGTTCTCCCTGTAGTCAAGTACCAAGTCATTGTCGTACCCAGGCTGCGGGTGGTCAGCTGGAAGTGACGTAGCTGCACAGATGGTCAACAAGAGAACCAAGGAAACAAGAAAGACCTGGGACATCTGAAATGATTCATTTGATCAGTTGAAATTCGGCTCATGTTATGTTTCGAACAGCTCATGGGTGAGGTCATCTAAAATCAGTGATAGAATCGTGAAACTGGTTTGGGTTATGAAATAACGAAACTTTCTAAGAGTCTATTAAATAGTTGAGACCACAGTTTGCTCGACGAAGCGCCTATACTCGTAAAATGAAGCCGAAAACGGTGCACAGAGGGGCCCATGTAAGTATTCTAAGTCCATTGAACACTGCTCGCGCTCGCTCAGCGACAAATTTATTTTATTTTTGATTACTATGCCTCGCTTCACGGATTGAAGTTTTCTGACGTTGAATGAAATGCTAGTAGTCCAGGCACTTCTTGATCTAAAGTGTAATTTAAGTTTTCTATAAAAAACGTTCATATAAGATTCTGGAATTTCTTAAGAATTTCTCAAGAAAAACGAGTTTGGTTTATGTTTTCTTTTGAAATAAAAGAAAAAGCTCAGTACGTGTTTTAAATTACAGAAGAGGGGAAAGTTTCGCGACTCTTTGCTGAATAAAAGAAATAAATTCCATGGCAATTGCAATTGTTTTGGGAAGAAATTAGGGAACAGCTCGATTCCAACCGATTTAATCAGAATAAATCTGTCTTTCTGTCTTACCTTTGTTAGTAGAATTATTTCTTTTTCTTTTGAACCAACCCTCTTTCCACGCCAAACACAGGATTCTGGACAAGCCTTTATTTTTGTGATCAACTTTTAAGGTGTTAAACTAAATTTGATTAGTTTTAAGGAAAACAATTAATCTTTCACCACCTGCTGCGAGCAGTGATCCAAAAGGCTGGGGTGCGGATACAACGGAAGGAAGTGCAGATATCAAACTTATTTCCCTTTTCAAGCAAAGAATCAATTCAGGAAATTTATTCATATGGCCAAAAGGGGAGACGATCGACGATTGACGCTTTGTCAATAAGATTATTGGTAAAATTTCTGTCAATGAGAAGTCACAAACAACCATGTTTATTTTTGGTCTCACATATTTTTACCAGTTCCAGTAGAGAGATTTGAAGAAATGATTAAGACTATAAACGATCATGAATTAACTTAACAAATAACGAATTCTGATAGGCGGACTGTAACGCTACAAAAAGGTGAAGGTAATAGATTTATCGAGGCATCCGGAGTTAGAAATATCGTAGATTTTAATAAGTGTTCAATATCATCATTTCAAATCAATTTCATCACTGATTTTTCTACGTGATATTTAAAGAGTGCAATTTAAAAAGAGTTCTGTTGAGAGCAAAATAGGTTGTGACAAAGTTTATTGAGAATTCCTAGATTTATAAATATTTTTCACTTTGCTGAGTTGAAGAGTGATACACATTCCCTCAAACATAGTCAAAAGGAAATGATATTACTAACCTTCTGTGTAAGAAGTCATCACCGAGGTCGAAATTCACAGCATGGAACATGGTTGAAATCAATTTCGCAAGTACGAAAATGAAATTAATGTTAGAAAAGACGGAAGTTAATCAATGATACAAGAAAACTTTAATCTTACAATTTCTTTTAAAAGATTTCAATAAGGTGAGAACTCATTACACGCTCTAGACACGACGAAAATGAATCATTTTTCACTCCACCACCAAGTTGAAAATTCACCATTTTTCTTGTGCTAGACTCCTTACTAAATGAATAAGAACCCACATCGTACATCTTCCTCAGCGATGTATCTGGTGATAAATTACCGGTAATTATCTTTGCTAATTGAATTACAGTCATTACTCGACATTCAGCCTTACAGGATTATTTTCATCGATGCTTTTTCAGTCCTAGGTGAATGCCATTGCGAAGGCATCAACTTACCTCCACAAATCAAACCAACTTTAGGAAAAGAAAGCTACAACGTATTCAGATAAGAGTATTATTGTTGGTTATGTTAGAATGTCGGAATTTTTTTGACTTCGTACTAAAACCAAATGGAAATCTGAAAAAAATAAACTAACTTTTTACTTTCTAAATCTCTCACGTTTGAAATATTTCGAGGGGGAACTGGGTCGAATACTTCACGTAGATGCTAACAGTTGGAGTTTCCGTGAAAAGTGAAAAGTAACAACAGAATTTTACATACCTTGATTTAAAGAGTCTCCTCTGCCTGTATTTGTGTTCAATCAATTCCTATCTAATGTTTGTTTTGATTTTGCATTTGAAATTGGGATATATCCATTAATTAGACAAGTTTTGCCTCTTCGTATTTTTTCCCGGAGGTTTAGCAATAAGCAACAAGACTTACACCTAGAACCAGTACAACACTTTGATCTAGAGCTAGAACTAGAACCAGAACTAGAACAACGGAAAATAAACTGTTTATATTCTCTCGACTAGAACTAGAAATATTTCAAGACCGAGAACTAGAACTGGTCTAAGACCTAAACTTAGGTCTATACCTAGACCTAAATCGACCTGGACCTAGACCTAAAACTAGTGGAAGCCAGTATAAGACCTAGACCTAGACCTAGTACAGGACCTTGACCTACAACTAGGATAAGACCTAGACCTAGAACTAGACCTAGTACATGACCTAGACCTAGTACAAGACCTAGACCTAGTACAAGACCTAGACCTGGAACTAGAACCAGTACAAGACCTAGACCTAGCACAAGACCTAGACCTAGAACAAGACCAAGAACTAGTGCAAGATCTAGACCCAGTACAAGACTTAGGCCGAGTACAAGACCTCAGGAAACTAAAGCAAGACCTCGACTTAGACTAATTACAAGACTTTGTCACGGGAAAGTTTACGGAGGCGACCATGAATCATGGAAATTCATATTCGTTACGTAATTGGAAAGTCAATCCCAAATCAGTTGAAATGCCAGTCATATTTAATCGTTGTATTTTGATCTATCTAGACTTAGGCCGAGTACAAGACTTCAGAGAACTAGAGCAAGACCTCGACTTAGACTAATTACAAGACTTTGTCACGGGAAAGTTTACGGAGGCGACCATGAATCATAGAATTCATATTCGTTACGTAATTGGAAAGTCAATCCCAAATCAGTTGTAATGCCAGTCATAATTAATGGTTGTATTTTGATCTATATAAATCCTCATTGCTGAATAACTGTGGCTTTCTGACAAATCCCAAAGGCTTCCTAAGAACATTAATGAGGTGCAAATTGGGACTTTGGGTGGGGAGCTCTCCTTTCGTTTTTAAAATGGAATTCTTCTCAAGTTGCCACCTAACAGATCAGAAAAAAGGCAAAGGAAAACCATCGTGATCATCATAATGCTTAAATTTTATTTATCATAAGTGCACAATAAGCTAAAAACGTTTTGAGCAATTTCCTCTATGATAATATAAAGTAAAGATAAAAACACACAAGTCATTAGCCTGCTTTTTTCAGTTAGGATAAAATAACAGATTGACAGCGTCTCTCTCACGTGTGTTTGGTTCCTCCTAATTTTTTTTACTAGCTATAAGTGATTAATTCATAATAAGCGATTCTATTTTACTAGAGTACTTGGGGGAGATTCTCAAGGTGGCCAGCTGTGTTGACTTCAAATCTGTGGATAGGAAAATAGTGTTAGTTAAAACAATGAGTATACCCATATAATATAATTTCATCCCCATCTTAAAAAATTTATATACGAATATGACACTGAGTGCATTTTAAGCTTCTTTAGACCTTTTGGCCACGGTGAAGTATTTATTCAAATGGGGCAAAGTTCGTTTCGTTGGTCGCCATTTTGAATCTTGCTTAGCAGCCTGGCCATCTATCTTTGACGTGAGTTGTTCTCCCCTTTTGGCGATCTGTTATAGAAATTAAAAGCTACGCAAAAGGATATTGTTGACCCAAATAGTTTTCCGATAATCAAAACAGATGCTGTTCTGTAGCCCCTTGTCGAGGTTCCCGTCATCTGGATAAAACTTTGCTATGTCAGTCGTATGTAGGCAGGGCATTGGATTGCTAAGCAGTTATCGTAATCGCTTGAGAATTTTCACTTTTATGTGGCGCCGAGTGTTTATGAGTATTTTTCTTCTTGAGAATAGGGCTGCACACCAGCCAATTAGCTCATATAGTTTGAGTTCAAAGTCCTGTCAGATGCTTCTCCGTAGTTTACGAGGTGTTCAAGAGTTTGCAGATTTGTCTGCGTAAAGTAGATAAGGGAGCTTCTTCACATTACGTTGCGTTGTGCCGCGCAGATATTATATATAATAAATCCCTTTTAACGTAAATAGTTTAAGAAGTCGGATAAAACCAAATTCAATCATTGATTAAAAAGCTTTTGCACGATCAGGCCAATCAAAAAAAAAAAAAAATTCGAGAGTTTTTTATCGTAACATTGTATGGAGAGGCACATGTTGGCTAAGTTTCGTTGTCGGTTGAATGAGTTATAAACGTACGTTTGAGACTTTGATCTCAAGGCCATACTGCAGGGGTGTTAAATTATTGCCTTATTCGTCAAAGAGAATATTCTCTTGGTTCTTCTTATTTGAATTTATGTCTTGAGTCGCTGACAGAATTAAGACTGCCGATTTCAGACTTTCGAAAAGAGTGGTTTACATATGAGAGGGGGGGGGGGGAATTTTTATGATCTAATTTCAACAAATTCTGAGCCTCGGATATTGTATTCCGAATTCCTGATTGGTTCTTGCATTTGATCTCACATCCAACACGTGTACATGGAATAACTGTTAAATATGCAGTATGGATATGTTAGAAGTGGTCCATAAAGGCCATATTTCATAATTTACATCCATTTGTTCTAGATAGGAAAGTGAAGAACGGATCTTGTCTCAAACAGGGTCAGGGTTTCAAGGCCTATACTTCACTTCTTAAAACTCCAAGCTCCCTTTTGATGCCCCAACCCAGCTTTCTCCTTACCTATTGGAATTTATTCCGCCTGTCGTTTCCCATTCTGACAGAACCAAGAGAGACAGCCTGGTTGGTTTTGGGGTTCGGCAGGAACTGAGCGAGCGATGCGGAGTTTTCTCATCGGACCAGAATCTTCGACAGTGCTTCTCTTTCCAGTTCGGCAGTCTCTTGTGAGGCACGGGATGTCTTCTGGTCCTGGTTTGGGTCCATCCTGTGGTGGGACACCATTGACTGCCCGTCGTTTTCGTCTACATTCCCAACTAATGCAAGGCTCTTCTTCCTTTGCACCGTATACACTGGATTTCTTATCTGTGGACCCGCCACCTCTGAGGAAGTTTAGAAAGGTATTTTTTTGTAGTAACATGTTTCTCCTGCATTGCCACGAGATACACGGTCTGCGTTCACTGAGGTCCTTGAGTTCAAGCGCACGCCTTTGAGCCCAATCCCATGGCTTTTCGCTTTCTTTTCCTAACAATTCTCCAGTGGTAGTCATCAAAATTAAAGTAACGTTAAGGAAAATGAGCGACCAGAATCCCATGTTACTCTCCCTGGCGAGGAAAAGAGAAATTAAATACCTTTTTAGATCATACAGAACAACACTTTACAGCGGTTTTAATGTCAAATAATTCGCAGCATCATAGCTTTGATGAGCCAATTAAAAATTTTTTCCTGGTGAATAATGATACTCTACGAGTTATCCCTAATGTTTTAACTTCCTCCTGTAAATGCTGCTTCCAATTTATAGCACATCGGAAACAGAAGACTGTTCAGAGACCTGAATTCTTGTAAGTGCGACGGAGGTTAGACGGGGAAAATGGAAATCTTTAAGCCTAATTAAATTATCAGTTGAAGGATTCCACTACCGTGATTTGCAACGGAAGCCAGATGATGCTGGTAATGGTTTAAAATCTTAAACTAGTGTAAGTTTTCAAAGCAGGATACGAATAAGAATTATTGGGCAAATTCCCAAGGTAAAAAATTGATAAATGAAGGAAAGGCCGACTACAAGTTTAACTGACGATCAACATGCTTCTTTTTATTACACGGAGGAGCTGAGATTAGAAGAAACGTGCATAGGATGCTAAGTATCTCACAGGCGGGAGTCAAACGCCGAATTTTTCATGAGCCGAACGCACTGATACCTTGAATGAAGCAATTGAAAAGTTAGGTGCCTGACTCAATTCATTCAATCCATTTGGGAAGACCTGGCTCTACTTCCCGCCTAGCTTGCTCGGAAATTTCGACTTGAAAACAGCTTTAGAAAGACTGTGGAACGCCTTTTGTTGAGACGAAGACACAATCATGAACCTAACCCAAAACATATCATGATAACGATTTTTCCAGAAACTTCTAAGTCCTGGAAATGTGTAATGAACGCACCAGGCAAATGTATATAAAAAAGAGTAGACTTGTCACAATTGGAATACGCAGTAAATCAGTTGTCAGAGAGGTATCAAAAGAACTTTCTGACAATGCATCTGACATTTTCCCACGACTGCTGCAGAGATATCTAAGTATTCTAAGTAAGCCTGAGAAAACAAAACACACGTTTTTATGGCAGATTTTGGAAAATAAAATGAAGAAAGGAATTAACGCGCTTCAATTGAGCCATCAAGCTTTTTCAATGATAAATTACTCGAATTCGATCAAATTTATTCTCTGATCGTACCTTTCACATGATTTGAGTCCTGGGAAGCGGACTGCACGAAAAAAGTATCCCGCCATTTTGTAAACAATTGCCTAACCTTACTAAACTAATCCTAGCACTCACAAACTGCATGAAGCGCTTTCTTACGATTTTAACACATTTTATCGAACTTTTAGAGTACCCAGGAAACCAGCCCACATTCTTTAATTTGTGTGATTCAAAGGGCTTCTGCTAGGAAATTTAATCGTATCAAGGTGTAATCGTTGTTGTTTCTATCATGCTATAGTCTAATGTATTAACAGCAGTCAGCGCGTATAGCCGGTTTTGTTCAAATTGCGCCAAGACAAAGGCTGATTTGAACTTCAATGCCAGCCTCAACCACTCTTTTATTTGAAAGCATTTCTTGGAGGGATCATCAAATTAGCTCGGCTCACATTAAACTCTTTCTTTCCAAACTGATAGAAGTGATAGAAGAACGATAAAACAAAGCCTAACCTATTTAGCTTTAGGCATTTTTTACTAACTCAGTCAGCAAATTTCTTAAACATCTGATTCAAAATCAGTAAGATGTGTAAATATAGAAGAAGAGGGAACTATCTAAACTCCTGTGGAGTCACTCCAATAACCCAGCAACCTTTCCAGCGGTGAAGTACTCTATATTTATTCTTTTGAACTAACAGGCCTGCTTTATTGATCCAAGGTAAGAGAAACGACTATTACACCAAGAACTTAAAATTCGTGATTCATGTTGTAAGTAAGAACGGAAAAAGACACGCAGTCAATAAATCGGCGAAGACCATTTTCCAAATTGGTCGAAAATTTTCCGTTTTATAAGGATTTAGCTCATTATCACCTGCCGTTGATAACAAAAATCTTTTAAAGGATTTTCGATTCTTTTTGAGCTCAAAAAGTGTGATAAGAAGTACTGTAAGATAAAATGGAATATGAACAATTTTAACGTCAATCGGTAAATTAAGCAAAAGAGAGAAACGAATCACCCTAACTTCACATCCCACAAATATCAAACGAAGATTAAGTTATTACACTCGGAAATCACACACAAACCATATAAAATGCAAGTTTAAGTCAGTGTATATGTCAAGCTAAATAAAACGTGTGTAAATAAGTCAACCCTCATACGTACGTTAATTTGAGATCCAAGGAGAAGCCTTTAAACGTCTTGTGTGAAACAAAGTAATAAAAAATGGTACATACAAGCCGGTTTTAAGCTAATCTTTCCGCATAGATTACTGAAGCGGAAATGAGCATCGCTTTTTCATTGAAGAACCTTTCATCAGAAGATTGGTTTTGCAGACCACACAAAATAGAAAACAGTCGCCTCCTTACCTGGTAGACTTCCTTCAATAAAATCAATCGAATCACCGATGGGCTTTCATTGGCTCATAAAATTTAATTACTTGCTCAATACGGGGTGCTAGTTAACTTAATGGAATATCTTTAAAGGTGATCCTTGAAAACTATGTTATCGGCAGCAATTATTAGTTTCCTTATAATGGTGCCGCTCACTTAACGTAAGGAACAAAACGTGAGTTAGTTCCTGAGTAGCCTGAGGCTAAACTTATACTGATACAATAGCAGCTATCAGGAAATGAAACGATATGGATATTGTTGACCAAAATGACGCACGCAGTTCAATCATTAGAGCCCGTTTTTAACAGCACTGATATGTCAAGGTCTCTCTAAATTCATAGATTACAACTAATTGATGGTTTAAGCTTTTAATAGAGAGGTTAATCATGCTAATAGAAAACGGCTGAAAGCGTTCTCCTTTCGGATAGTTTTGCGTTAGGTAGAAAATATTTTGCAATCGCCGTCACAAGGAATTGATTTTTTCCATTTCCTAAAGAGCCGCTCCAGGATAACAGGAGGAGTAAATAAAATCTTAGGTCATTTTTAGCTTTGACGCCAACCTCTTGCTGAAATTCACTAATATTTTAGGAGACCGCAAGGATTCATGTATCTAATAGCATCATATGCTTTACAATCGGCAATCAATCTGATTTAGAGAATATGTCCGAAAAAACTCCATCAAATTCGGGTTCTGACCGTCATACCTACAGGTTTAACCAAGGTAAATTTTGATCAAGGGTTTTTGTGTCTTAAGAAAAAAAGACAAAAAGATCTCTCTGAGTATAATAGCCGCGTACTTCTTTACTGCTCTAAATAGAAAACTATGACATTGAGAACCGGATGAAAGAAAAAAATGATATAAAAATATACGTTGTATTCTTTATCCTACAATCATAATTATCTTAATAATAAGATCAGACTTATCAGCTTCCTCAGACAGGTATTTACTGACTGTATCAAAATATAGGTTTTTATCCTCCCTGACAAATATTGAGAAAAGATCATATCTTAGTTGGAAGCATCGGCAATGATGACGCCCTTTTTTAAAAAGGCATGATAAAATGATAAACAAATGGATATTTTCTCTGTGTATCAACAATAAAAATATCGCTCTGTCTGACAATTCTCTATTTCAAAGAGATATACACATATAGAACATAGTTTCTTAAAATAGATTTAATCAGTTACTTCAGATAATTCGACAAACACGGCTGTATTTCGAGATCTCGGCGTCACAAACATGAATTCAAATATTTATGCGTTCAGTTGTGTTTTTGTTTCTAGCAGAATGATGCTAACATCATAATTATTTCATGGCTTCCAACGGTAAAGTTTTCTTTGCTTAATTAAAATAATCTTCGCCTCAAGCCACACAGAATGAAAAATATACTACATAATTTAAAACGAAACAGGACACGATTCACATGCATACACCAAGGAACAGAAAAAAAAATTTGAGTGGGAATATCTTTACGCTACGACGTGATCTGAATGCGAAACAAAATAGCTAAGTACAGACATGTTTTTGTGTATATTCGTCTTAATGTAGGTTAGATCTTGAAACCTTTTAAGGATAAAAATTGTTACTAAAAATTCCAGAAACATCTTTATTATTGAATATCAGTGAACAGGTTAATTTCTTGAGTGTAGTTTTCACCTGCCGTGGGAGGAGAGAATGGTTTTTCTGTGCACCGCCCCGCTTCAATTCGATTTAAACACTCTAGGCGTGAACGTTTAGCTTCAGGAAATTACAAAGTTTGGAAATAACACCATTAACTATGCGAAATAAATTTTCAATGGACTACTTCCTCAGTTTCGATGCGGAAGACAAATGTAGAGAATATTCCATGAATTCATAGCAAATGAGGCGGGGGGGGGGGGAATATCAGACATAGGTGTGATGTTAATATTATCAAAAGGACTGACACATTAACATTTTTTATATTTAGAGGTGAAAATTCAATGAAAAGCTTTTAAAACATGAAGACAGACTTAAGATTTTGATCAAAATATTGAATATATATGAGTTTGAGTCTCCCTTCTTTTAGTTTTTCTCGCGTATCTTCGTATTGAAAATAATCGTCTTTTTTCCCCCAATGAAAGTTACAGCATTTTTAAGAGAATCTGAATAGAAAAATGTTTGGAGGAACCAACTCGTTTAGGTCCATTTTTTTCAGAGCTCGAGGCATATTGACTATATTACCGTCTGACGGTTATTTTTCAGTCCCTCTTGGGATCTAATACAATTAATTTGAAAACATGATAAAAATGATTATTATTTGGTGCTGGCTTCAGATATTTTAACAGTCTGTAGTTCACCAGCGTTTGATAATGCCGATAAGGAAAATTAATTAATTAATTTTCAAGAACTAAACCAGTGCTTTCTTGTAATCGAGTTCACAGTCAGAAATAGATTTAGCAATCTTTCAGAGCTTCATTTAACTTCGAATTTTAAGGAAATATAGCATGTCACGTACCGTTAAATATCATTCATGCCCCAAGTCATACAAATCTTTATGAAGGAAAAAACAATTTCAGATCGACATCCCTCTGATAATGAGTGTCACCTTTGTTGAATTTTCAGGATGTGATCTTTCAATAATGAAATTATTTTGCCACGAAAGTAAATCTTCAAGTTTAGTCGCCAGTTTAAGGAAGGATCTTTATTGTTTCAAAAGATTCCCTTTTTACTCAGCTTTTTCTACTCCCTTTTCCCCAGAAATTCAAAGCCAAACTTTTTATAAGGGACTCGTTCACTTGGCTTATTTCAACAACCACCCATTTTGCCAACACCACGTCAAAACCGGATCTTTAACTAATAACAGGGAAAAGTTACACGCAAGTGTTGACTAAATTTCAACATATATATTTTACAAATTGTCCACAAGAGGAGAACACGCCAAAATCAAGGAAAGGTGGAAGACATTTCGGACTGTAATTGGAGTTTTTGTTGAAAGGCTGATGCGGCAAAGCGTCGGGGCAAAGCGAGCTAAACCGTTTTTTTGGGGGAATTTCAATCATTGATTGATGATAGCTTCCGTTCATTACAAATTTCAAACTGGATCCTTTGAGGCCGCATGATTGAAAACCTTTTCGAGTAGACTTTCTAAAACAATACTAACTAATGCCAAGGTCAATGTTGATTTTTCACACAAACACAAGGATCTCAGCGATGCAGTAAATTTTTCGTGCTGTATCGAGCTCTAAAACTTTGAGATATATTTACATTTGTTTTCAACAGATCGAAGACTTTAAAATTATTAAGAAACAATGTAAATTAGTCGAAATAGTTTTAAAAACGAATTAACTACAGTCGGCTTGTTTAGATATATTTGAGCACAAATGTATTCTCCAATCTGAAACCATCCAAAAACCAAATATATCCATTTCGTACTAAAAATAAGACTGAACCATTTTCAATTATCAGTCTTTTTATAACCAATTCAAACCTAACTCATATGGACCAAAATTCAAAGTATTACTCTCGGTTAAAAGTAACATTGCAAAGCAGCTTGATTAAGGATACAACTTTTATTCAGCTTCTAATAAAACGAAGACTTCTATATTTAAAAAGAAGTGAACAACTCATGCTTTACAGTGCGAAATTAGGCTACAGAATAATATGATATTAGTACACAGAGATCTATTCTACAGTGCTATCAGATGAGAGTGGAATATTCTGAAACTGTTAAGCTAAATTAATTATCGATGGATTTCTGCTGGTCGTTATATCCAATGATATCAGTCAAGTCATCGTCTGGTAATCCCCACCTGATGAAAGGACAGACGAAAACACGTCACTTTACTGTTAAACAATGAGCCAAGTAGTACACGCGCTGTGATTGGTCGTCGCCTAGGATCTATCACAGTTTACATAATAAGGTGCGTATTTTGATTGGTTATAACATATGATCTATTGTACGACAGATACATAGATGACGTCGTTGTTAGCAACATTTATTTTTTTTTTTATCATATAAAACCGATTGATTCTTAAGTGCAGCGGGTCTGTACAGAAAATGTGGTAAGAGCATCAGTAACTCACTCGGCTGTACCTTGTGCGCCATTTTTTTGCCCTATTACATTTTGACGTCATCGATGATTTTTTGTGAAACAATACAATTTACTTAATCCCCCTTAAGGCTCTGTAAGATTCTAACGACACCCCCTTATTGGCAGTCAATTTTCTAAATTCTCCCCTTGAAACTCTCTAAGAGACAACCAATCCCCACTCCGACCCCCTCTGAAAAAACCATGCGATTCCCCCAAAATCCTCCAACCCCAGCCACCCTCCCCTCCAGGCGATCTTTGATGACTGGTCCGTTACTTCCCTGTTAATTGTAATAAAAAAAAAGAAAAAAAATTGTAATAAGGGCGTCAATGACAACCCCTACACTTTGTGTGCTATCTTATTCTTTTGTTGCCATCTGTAACTTAAAACGGAATCCCTAAACGGCAAAATAAAGTCTATTTGTTAAACCAGTACGTCAATTTGCCTCATAAAAAAGATCTACTGTTAAAAAAACCTTTTCTTGCAGAGGGATTTTTTTCCAAATAAATTGGAGACAAACACTATCGCCGAAAAAATTTTGACAAATTACCAATCCAAGAAATAACTCTCACAAAATTTTCACGCTACATTCTAGGATTGTTGCTATTTCTTTGATGACCTGCTTAATTCAGATTTCCTTCGTTGGCTATTCTTCTTTTTTTATTCATAATCCCCTTCGGTGAAGGAGAGCTTTGGTTAAGGTTTACACAACGTTCCAATCAAAGGCTTGCATCTACACATTCTCACCAGTGGCAAACCACGTCTGCAGTTCGCTAACTTTCATTAATTCGAATAAGAACGACTCACGATTGGCCATTAGTTTTGGCAAAAATTTTCATCCTATTTGAATGGTATAAAATGTTTCCTTTTTTTTTGTACCACAATCGTTCCCTTACAAAATGTGTTATTTTCCGCCAGCAACTTGATTTAACCCTTTGACTCTGAAGATCTGATTGTTAATTCTCCCCTCCAGCTGCTACACATATCCTCGTAAATTAGCTATGAGAATTTGTTTTGGATCAAGATAAAAACTTCTACCTTATAATTTTGAATATTTTCATTACCAGGTTGCTGGACAATGTATGGATTAAAAGCAAAACATTTACAAGTTAATCTCTTCCAGGAGTTAAAGGGTTGAGCGAACAGAAATAATGTCAACCAGAACCTCATAATATATGGTGAATGGTATAAAGGTGATGACAGACTCCCGAAGGGTTTTTGATTCTGAAGTAGCGCTATTTTTTTTTTAACGGATTACGCGTCAGTTTCGTCAACGTGACTTACTCTCTGGAACCCCTGAAGCGATTAGGTCGTCTTCTTCCTGGTCTTCCTGGTCTTTTACGCCTCGAAAACTTCACTTTCTTCAGAAAACTGCAGCCTCCAGATGAACATGGCGAACGTCGCTCCCGAGTAACTTCGCTCTCCGAGACGGGTATGGAAGAGGCCTGGAACAGAAGGCAGGCCAGGATACAAAGCCAGAGTAGCTGTTTATCCATCTGAAAATACAATCAGTGGGCGATAAATAATCGAGATACTTTTAATAGTCATGAATTTTGTAATAAAAGTCACATCTTAACCTGCTAGAAAAAAGAAAAGCCAGGTATGAGAAAGACGTAAGAATACGGGGAAATGAAAAGGTGACAGAGAAATATCGCTTAAACTCAGAGCGAACGATTAACCGAAACAATTATATAATGCTTTCAATTGGATAAGGGTAGGAGCAAATACTTAAAAACCAAATTTTAGCTTTAAATACATGTGATCTACACTCCATTGCAATAAGAATGATTAACTCTATCAGAATACCTCAGCCTATGTGGCCAAGTTCCTAAAGGGGGAAGAATGAGTTAAGAGCAAAACACTCAATCTCTTTAGTCCCCCAGCTATATTCTGTTAAATGACGACTGATCTCCCCTCCATTCCCTTGAGAAATATATGACCGCCCCCCGTAAAGTCCACCAACCCCACCCACTATCCCCAGGAAATAAATAATGACTGGTTCCTCATCAAATTTCTCCTCGTTTGGACATCGGAAGGCCAGATTAGTGTGGAGAGTTGGGAAAACTAAGGAAAGAAAGAAGCAATTCCAAAGAAATGTAGACTCTTGTGTGGACAGAACCTCGTCTTAAATCTGTGACTACTTTCTTTTATCGGGTATCTTTTCATGTTCCATGACTTTTCGCCGGCTTATTCCGTATCAGCTCTTACTGATGTGTTGTCTTGTTGACATTGGAAAGAGAAACAGTAAGTTGATCCGCAGCACTGAACTCTTTTATATTATTACTCTCTAAGACGATCCACAAAATCCAAAAAAACTATCCTTAAATTCAATTGTAACCGGTAAGTAATCGAAAATAAACGCTTACGGTTTTCCGAATTTCATTTCTTTATTACCCACTCAAATCTGATTGTAGCTTTACGTTTTGCATTTGGAAACAAAAGCTTATTATTCGCGAGTTAAGTGTAGCTTTTGTAAAATACATCGAAAAAAGTAGAGTATGGAACTGAAACGTGCGGCTAAAACATTTCCACCCAATGCGTTAAGAAACTACCTTTTAGTTTTTTTTCCTCGTTTCCATAAATTATTAATTTTTCCTTTTCGAGCTTCGAGGTTCGGAAAACATCAGATCTATAATGTTTTCATAATACCAAACCATCTGTTTCTCCAATCGGTAACCACGCAAAAAATTGCTGAAACAAAAAACTTAAGAATCGCTAATAGAGAACATTTATTCCAATGTTTGAATAGAAAAACGACGATAATGACGAAAGTGAATCTTTTTCAATATAAAATTTTTTCCTTGAAGAGTATCGTTAGGCTCAACTGATCAGCTGATTGAGGTCGTTTCAACAAAAAAATTGAAAGAAGCTATTCTGAGATGCATACGCATTTCAACAGGGGAAGAAATTTTAGTGAGCTGTCTAAGAACTTCTTTGGTTTCCTTGAACTACTTTCCGTAATTTTTTATCCTAAATGACGGGCAATTAAATCAATCAAGAATTACAAGGCCTTTTTGGGAGAGTTTCCCATAATTTTGAAATAATTCGAGCAAAATCGAAAAGACAATTCAAGATTACCAGAGGATGCTCCATTCGCTCTCAACGAAGGGTATAGGTTCGAATTTGATAAAGGCGGCAATTCATTCCCCTTGAACAATTTTTATTCCATCGTCAACGAATTATATCTCTTGCCACCTGACGCAGCTCAAAGCTATTCTTTAGAAATGAATAACTTTGAAGATCATATCTAGATTAACTGATTGGTCTGGAAAATTCCAATAAATAACAGAACTTTCTATTTTTCTACCAGTTCTGAGGAGCAGTAACCGCCCTTCGTTTTTGCCTTGTAATCGCATTTTTCGCCCTATGTTTTGGAAAAAAATAAAAAAATAGAAGGTAAACGAGAAAATCTTGTGTTTTGTGAGAAAAGAAGACGTGGAAAGAATTTCTTACGTTTTGAGACGTTCACGAAATTTTCATAAACTGAATTCAAGTCAGTTTTAAAGAATTTTAGAAAATCCAAATTACGTAACTGTAAGATCTAAATTTGTAGCTATAGGTCTCAAATATTTCTTCGATGCTGACCCAACCAAAAAAATTATTTCTGTAGGACACAAACCTTGGTTTTGCTCTGATTTTCGGATCGTCTCGTCTCGGCCACGTTCTAATTGCAATGAGTGTGGTTTGTTTGAGAACAGATACAATAAAATCTATTAGAGGCGTCTGTGAGGTCGCCCACGAATTTTTGACGATATATTGTGATCTTAAGTACATATGGAGCATTTAATAAGCTCTTTGCGATAAAGAGCTACCCAATAATTGCTTATTATTTCTTTCCGTATTGTTACAAGGGCTATCAATGCTTCCTTTTGACACAATGAAGATAAAAGTTGTTTGTCTCCGGCAAACCGCGTTAAAAACTAATCTATGATTAATTTACTTGCTTTGTAGGAGTTCTTTAACGACAACGTAATCGAGTGATAAATGAAAAAGCTTTCTAGTACTTTCACGGGTTTGTCTTCGTTTAATTGTTGTAACCATTGCATAGACCAACTCTATTGGAGAGCGGTAATTTGGAGACTTGCCGAGAGAGAAGAATATTACAATATTTACGCTGTTACTTGACGTACTTTCACAGCAACCCACTCCTGAATGGTTGGAAGTTCGTTTTCGGCATGATTTATCAAAAAAAATTCCTCCAAAAGAACAAGAAGATAAACGCTGCCTGCTGTCGCTATGTGACACAAGACTGACCATTATCATCGCTAAAATATGCATCCGTCGACGTCATTCAGTCTCCTGTTACTCACATACTATTGTAGATCTCAGCTTTCGGAAAACCGTTCAGTACAATTTGTTATTAGTCAGATGCATATCTTTACATAAAAATGTGGATACAACCCTCAAATCATAATAACCGTTTTTTCACCTCAGTAAAGAAAAAGGTAGTGAACCGCCAAAGATTCTTAGATATTGTAGATTGAAGAGTTCTCACCGGCATCGTCCATTTTGTACAACTCAGATTGTTTACAATAGGTGTATAAAACATCGATTGTTGAGTCCGATCGGAATATAGTCAGAAATTTCGAAATCTTTCAATCAGTTCTATTTGTCCTCTCTTTAACCATATGTTTTGCGGTAGATGGTTCAAGGGATCTTACATTTTTTCCTTCCACCACAAAAATCTCTAAAAAACTCCTCCCTCCAAATGATAACATTTCAGAAGAGAATTTTATTGTCGGACTCAAGGACATTATTATTAATAAGCGCTCAAAGTTCATACGGCGCCAATAAAATTACTGCCTCTGTAAAAAAATCGCTGATTCAGTGCTTAAATCATTTCTGTACAATTTCATTATACATGTAGCTCAGTATAACCATCTCCCAAATACCTTTTAGATTGATGCTGAAAAAATTATGAGATATCTTACCACATATTGTCAAGTATCTTGTCGACTGATGTTAAAAAAAACTATGAGATATCTATCTATCAGATATTGAAAAAAATGTTCTGAGTTTAATTGTAAGATTTTAAAAGTTATCGTCAAATAGATTCAACAAACTAATATCTGCGCAAACGGTAGGACCGTCTTGTTTAGACATAACTATTACTTGGCACATTTACTTGGCGAATCAGATATGTTGTGTTTATCAGCTGTACTGATGATATATAGTCTATTGATAAGATACGGCGCGAGATAATGAAACCGCGATCGAATGATAGAAGATAACCATTGGAGGTATTTATGTAGGAAAATTATCCACGGCATATACAAGCGGCAACTTACATAAGACGTGAACTCATCGGTTCATTCCCATTTTTATAAGCCACGGCTTATACAAGACGAGGGTTTTTGTAAGCTGCGGATTATTTCCCTCCTATTAACGAGCCTATTGATTCTTTGCTTCATTCTTTTTTCTTCATTAGAAAACCAGAAAAGAAAATCACCTGACAAAGAATGTTAGGATCTCGAACAGTGTAAATCTGAAGGATGGAAGAAAAAACCATTTTCGACTGTAAAACCATTGAAAATTGAAGTTTATTTTAAAAAAGTTCTAGAATGCACTTACTATCATTTTACCTGCGTAATAACCCCCCTGGGATGTTGGGGGAACACGAGAAAAGTCTGTAAATCACTCGCCTCCGGGTCGTGAATCACAAACTCTTCTCTTGTTCTTCCAACTTTCAGCGTGGGTTATTAAGCAGGTAATTGATAGAAGTGAGGTCTGTTCCTGAAATAACTCTTGAATGATAACCACGATTCTTTATGCTTCATCAGATTCCAGCCATGCTGATTAACACACAACCTGACTTCACTGACCCTTTACACCACACCAACAGTATTTATATATTCCATAATGATCCCCATAAATTTCCAAAAGTGCTGACAAAGAGACTTTTTTAACGATCAAGCGCCTTCTAGTTGATGATCAATTCCCTTCTTTAATGTGTGATGTGGAGGTGATAATGTAGGAGAAGTTATATGCCAATCACTCTTAGAGGTTAAACAGTTAATAGTTTCAGTAATAAAGCAAGTAGAACCTTCCTTAAAATTTAAATTCATGAATGTCAAATTGACTTTTAAAATGCAAAAAAGATAGACTGGATAAAGTGTGCAACATAGTTACTGATGTGATCAAAATCAAATTGCATAACAGTCAAAATGCAATTAGATTTCCATTAAATCAAAACCAAATTTTCTAGGCGGATACTATTTGCAGTATACCTTTATGTATTTTTTGAGTCCCTTTTGTTTTGTGGTTGTAAAATCTTTATCAACCAATAGATTTCAACTAATAGTTGAGATGGGCTGAGATGTTAATAACCATAACCCTAAACCTTAAGCAAATATTTGTAAACATGAAGAACAAAAGGTAAAGTAACGGTTAACCAAGCCGGCGCTTTTTGAAGCTGCGAGATAGAATCGATGCAAGATTATCCGTATTTTGCACAGTTGTCAGTTTCACTCGATGACGGCATTGTCCTGTGCACCTCACAGAGTGTTGGCGTGATAAAAAAAAGTGGAAAAATTTTAATATAGTGGAGAACCAAATTCATCTAGTGGTTAATTAGCTAGTTCGTCCTCTTCGCGCGTCTATGCACGTAAGCCTCGATCAAAGAACGCCATATGATTTTTCTCGGTTGCCAGTTGGTAAAGCTGTTTTCTTGTCTAACCTTCATCCCTTATTTTCTTTTCTATGGTTCTCCTCCAGGTTTCCTTGGAGTAGTCTCTCTTTCGTCGGCTGTCGGGAGTCCATTGATGGGCGATTGTGGGCGGGGCTGCTGGTGGCATTCGCAGCACGCTGCCTGCGATCCATCTCCATCTTCCTTTCTAGAACTGCTGGTTCTTCTGTGCAGCTCATTGTTGGAGATTATGTCAGGGCAAAAACAAGGGGAAATTTCTTTGACATCCATCTTAATGTCCTTGGTCCTCTCGGAATTGACATTGAGGTCTAAGCGCACTGCTGTTGTTGCTAATGCATGCGTCTTTGCCTGCATGTCTTTGTGTCGGCGTGGCAGTAGAGCATTGTCTTACAATCCTTTTCGTCTGTCGTTGGTGGTAGCCATTAGTGTTGATATACCAAGGCAATCCCATCTAATCTAAACTTTCTATTCATGTTAATTCTCTGTTTTTGCTCCAATCAACTTTCTCCTTTTATTGCCATGACGTTTCAAAATATCTGGAATTGATTCAGGATGCCACACAGGTGACGTATGATAAATAAAGGTGTGCAACTTGCCTAAAAAAAGTGATTCTAGTAATATTGTTTTCTGTGGATTTTAAGCAGGCGGTATTTTACAACTTGGGCATCCGGCCGAGGGCTGATCATGAATAAAATCAGCCCAACATGTCATGCAATAATTCGTCGTGCGAGCTCCGATATTTTTCATTCTAAATTGCCGATATTGTCCATTCTAAATTGCAAACGAATTTGAAACCTTTAATTTTGTGTCGACTCCGAGAGGAGACTGGGCGAATTGTTATGAACTGTTCAGTGTTTCTTTCTAGTCTACATCGTTCTTAATATCGCTTAACAACATATTTGATGTTGATTCAATAAAATGTTCGAGATTCTGTTCGCAAAGCCAAAATAATATCGCATAGATAAGCAAAGTAAGTCGTATCGCACAGGTTTTGTACCAGAAGCACAACATTATTCATTCAGGAAAAAAAAAGAAAAGAACGCCAGGTGCATTTGTGCTTTAAGATAAAAGGCAGATGTATTTTCATCATGCAGTGGGTGAGGAAATTATTCAAATATGCTACCAGTTGGCTTTAATTCCCTGGTTTTAAGTAACTTCCTACGTTTTCAATGTACTGGTTTGAGTGACCAAAAAAAATCGGATCACTCATGCTCTGAAATATCTATAAATCAACATTTTCTCTTAAATTTCAACAAAATATACGCAAAGATGGGGTGGGAAAAACTGAAATATGTTGACCACCTTTGTATTGAAATATTACGAACAACACACTGTTTTCAACAGATCTAGTGACTTGCCGCTTTTTTTCTGTAAAGAAAGTATAGTCCACTCTTTTTCGAAGATATGTAATAAATTTTGGATATGTCAATAGGCTCTTTTAACGATTTTAAAGGTTTTATCGTTTGTTTTTTTAAGTATCCAAATCATTCAGCTTCCTCTCAAAAAAGAAAAAATGAACTGTGAAAATTTGTGTTCCCTGAAGGTTGGGAATTCGGCAACTCGAAGACAATCTGTTCAACTTCCTTTAAGTTACTTCAGATTTAAAAAAGAAACGTTTTTTATATTTGAATTTTTACCTTCTTATCGCTGGTAGGTTGGTATTTTTGCAACGATGTAAAATGTTTTCATTCCACTCTTCGGCTTACTCAAACCCAAATTACGGGAACATCTTTCCTTGTTTTGGTTTATATGTGTATTTAGATTAGTGGGGTGCTTTAGAGCAACGAATAAGAGTTTGCCAAGAATGGGTGGTGTGAATTTTGTGAATCACCCTTCACGGACGGTATAATAAATTACGTTAACTCCAAATAGCAGCTGTTGCATATTAACTCGCTTTTTAATTCGTCTTTAGATCTGAAACCAGTCAAAATACGTAATGTTAAGGAAATTCGTTTTCTTCCGTTTCAAGTAGTTCACAGTTTTCGAGATCTTATACCACAAACCGAGAGAAACTTGAATAAACTCTCAGACAGACTTAGTAGGGGGTTGAAACTCCATGTAGTTTCGACATCTCTATGAGTTAAAACCACAATTTAATGCTTGATCGCTTTTTATATGGCAAATTAAACGAATTACTTTTCCAAATAAATGCATTTTCAAAAGATTCCAGTAGGGTTAGAAAGTCTTTTTATTTCGTACATAAACGACTGAACATATGGAAAACAAAAGATTATCTCGTGCGTAAAGAAACGTTTTTGGCAAACTTCCAACCTGAATAGATATTAGCAGGAATTATAAAATAGCGCGCGCGTTTGGCCCGTCTAATTATTAAGCTATCATGGTCAAAATCGTTAGAGGGGCAAGACCTGCGTCAATATGATGACGTGGGTACTCGCACGTTTCGGCAAAGTTTACAGTTTAGTCGCGAGTCTCGAGACTTTGAAGATGCGTTTCCGCCCCATATCGATTGAGATAGACCCTTTGGAGCTCAAAATGAAAGTGAATATGCTAAATAAGAAGCGATTCGGAAAACAATGGACGGTTAGCTCTTGATAGCGACGAAATTAGCTTTGGAGTTAAAAGGTTTTTCGATTTCCAAACGCATAGTGCGTAATGGCTGGAAAATGAAAACTGAACTTGCCGACTTCAAGTGAGGCTTTTGAAAGATTGAACTCGTCTTTGGAACGGTAAATATCTTTTAAAGTGTCGATATTTCCTTAAAGTATTTTCCAATGGAAGATTTCATGTCAAAATCTTAAAATTTTCAATACAGTACGACCCAGTTTTCTGGTCGTGAAGTCTAGTAAACAACGATTCAAGCATAGTGACTCTGCTACGCAGGTCTTGTACGCGAAAGAAATTCATATGTACTTCGCTTCTAAACAACAACTTTGGGTCCCTTAGCAGTTCTCTGAAAAAAGCTTTGGTCTCGAAATAATTCTTGGTCATCTTTGCCTATCTGTTATTCATAGTTTATCGGGTAGCAAGCGATAATCAAGTGAGCCTGACAAAAATGCTGAAAAACAGTTATTTTTTTTTCTTGCACAGAATTTGACTGCGATGCTATAACTCAAATGGTTCATGGCTTTAGCTGTGCGCATCAATGTAGTTTGAATATGTGGGGAGCAGAAGCAGGTTGCTCTCGGCCGCGCCTTCAGCATCTCTTCCGTTTCTCTCGTGCTTTTCAAACTTTCAGCGTACTTTTATACCTCAATATACTCAATATCGTTTATTTTTTTAAATAGACATTGGCATTTTATTGCATTATGCACGTAGCCACTTATTTCGTCCCAAAAATTGTTCATTATGCAATGACGAGTGGGTTTTCTTTCCTCGAGAGAATGTTTGATTATCAGCATAGTTCACGAGTGCCGACGTTGAGAGAACTGTGATTCCATCTTTCATATAGTTTTAATAATCAACAAAAAGATTCTGACTAGATAAAGGTAAATGTGTTCCTTTGTGTCCGTCCAAATTAAAGATAGACGCTCTTCTTTAATGAATTCCAGATCTTCATTTGTAACGTATCCTAGAGATTACGCCTTTCAGTTTTGCTGAAAGCCTCTTCAGTGCATAAATTCATATCAAGAGCGTTATTATTAGTTCAGTCTGCTACCAAGATATCCTATACATCAGTGCACAGCATGTCAGCGTCGATTGGACTGAACTTAATGCAAAATTGATTTTAGTTTTGGCAAGTTTGACCTCAGCATTGCTTCTGTCGAAACGATCTCAAAGAATAAATTCCCACACGCTGTGCATCAATTCTCTCATTTTTTACATTCACTCCACGGAGTTGGAATCTCTAATAAGTTTTGTGCAACATTACTTAGCTATAGATCATCTAGATTCTCAGTTTATTAGCTGTTTAGGCCCTCAAGTCTTTTTAACTGGAATGATGAAGCCATAACTACTTTAAGCTTTCCTAAGTCTTGAATAGAAATTAGAGCGAGCATTTCCTTGAATCAAGCCTTCTTGGCTTCTTCTTATCCAAACAAGACTTAGTAAAGATACGAAGATCCAGTTTCCGGCTTAACTTTCCGATGCTTCGTTATTGCCTTGTTAAAAATTAATTTTATTTTTATCTATTTCTGCAGAAGACTGTATGGAAGTCCAAGTCTTTTCCACTCCCTTTTGAAACAGGCTTTAAATGTCCCGCTTATGAAAAAATCCTTTTCACAGTCTAAAATGCCTTTCAATTGTCTCAAATTGTAAAGATATGAAGGAAAGCTGAGAAGTTTTAAAGGAGGCAAAGCAATATTCCTTTTATTTTAAGTTAATTAACAAAGTCTTTATATTTACTCGAGACATCCCTGAGCTACGCAGGAAGTCATAGTCACTAAGTAAATTACCCGAGCAAAAATAGATGTTGTGAATTAGGAGCTAAAATTATCCCTTTCTTTTACAATTAGATGGATCCCAAGCCTATCATAAAATTTACCTGACGCAGGCGTTTGCTTAATTGTGCTAATGAAGTCTTCTTGGGGGCGCATTTGTGCCAAATATTTGGTTTACCATCAGGTGGTTTTGGAACATCTTAAAATCGACTCCTGTGGAGGCCCTACAAAAGTTAAAGTATTTGAAAAACATGAAGGTTTTTTTTATGAGAGTTTAGTCATGTGCGGGGATATTGCCCGCAAGACCGTAGCTAAGCAGATTTATCAAATAGTATTTGAAAATTATTTCAGAGTGAATTAAAAAAAAAAAAGCATTAATCACTGATATATCGAATGAAGATGAAGGATCTCTACGCGCACCCATTAGCGAAGGAAGGATCGATCCAAACGCACTTATGAAAGCCAATTCTACTTTTTGTTACAGGTAAAATCAACTTAAGAAGGATTTTACCTTTACATTGGGGAGAGTTTATTGTGCGGAAGATAATGTTGGAACCGCAGGTTTAAGAATTCCGATTTTCAAAGACGATCAATTTATTTACATCTCCACCGACACAGCGGAGGAATTTGGGATTTGAATTCTCACAAGATATGCTTTATCCTGCAGAGCTTTCTTCTAAAGTTCTAAAACAATTTTTTGATCAATCAATAGACTTAGCTAGTGTGTAAGGAATTGCTACGCAGCTTTTTGTTTAGGGTATAGTTTAGGATGACAACGTCTTCCATTCTGCTTTAGTTTTGCGTCGCTTCCACAGGTCATTTTGTTTAGCAGGGCTGGATAGCTTAATTATTTAGCGCAAGAAAAGAACTAGCACATTGCAGTGTCTGAACAGAAATGCCTTATGGTAACAAGAAGAGGATGATTACATTAACGGAAGAATTAGCTTTTGGTAGCGATGTTTTTTAAGCCTCGTCGTTCATCGCTGACCCTCTGACACACTCTCTTGCACTCTAAATCATTGCAAGCTTTTAAATAAAACTGATCTTTTGTTTTTGTGTGTTTCTCCATCATTCTTATTTGTTTACATATTTACCTATTCCTTTTTGAAGCACGTGGTGTTCGTTTGTCCATCCTAAATGCTCCCCCGCTTTAAATTTTACATGTACCTTGAGGTGACGGTAACAAAATGCTTAGTTTCGATTGCGCTTAAATCCGAAACTCAGTTTAAAAAATGCCTACTATTTGCATTACCACAAAACCTCAAGACAGTTCTCGTGACAGTTGGTTTATTTCTGACAGCCAAATGCGTTAAAAGTAGATTTTTATCAGAGAGAAGGAGAAGAAAGTGAACTTTTGCACCTGGGACGCGTCCTAACGTAGCTGTCAAACCTGTTACTATGGTGAGGTTAGAAAAACACTTACTCGCCTGACTCGCCCCAAAAGAGCGCCTCTTTCATCGACATAGATCGAGAGAGTGTTGAAAGTACACTGAAATATCTCTTGAAAGCAGTCACGAAAACGATGCAGAAGTTATGGAAAGGTTTATCTGAACAAAATTAGCTTGAAATGAGAATAGACTTCGCATGGACGACTGTAGAGAGCCGTAGAGACCATTAAAAAGACTTGTAATTGCAACGGAAATGAAATTGGAGTTGTTTTCATAAATTTAACTCGTAAAAAAAAAAATTCACTTCTTTGGGAATTAGAATTGAAGTAGCAATTTAATATTTTGATCCTAATCTCCACACGTGATATTCCCGAGGGAAAATTTGCGACATCTATATGTTATTATTTCCTCCTTCGGTTAAAATTCCTTGAAATTCCCTCGCGGCTTTACAAGACAGGTTATACGTAATAAACAGATAGTTGATCACGTTCTTGTCAGCAAAACAATCTGAAAAGTCAACAATTGTTTCCGCTCCGTTGGTACGCGGATTTCCTTTTCAACCAAGTTTGATTTTTCACGATTACATCTCCCGCATCAAAGAAAAAAAAAAGGCTAACATGATGCATATCTTATAGTGTCTGTAAGACTTTAAATTTCAGCCGAATAGTGAAAATATTTTTGAGGTAAAAATTTTTAGGGTTATTCTTTACTTGGGTGGATCAAAAGAACAGGTCGATCGTCGCTATACCCTCATACCAGTCCTGAATTGTAGATAATATTTTTTAAAACTGCGTCTATAAAAATAAAGGAAATGAGTGATTGGAATTAGCTGGTAAGAAAACGTTAAATTCACATCCAAAACATTAAGTTTTGAAACAAAAAGAAACAACTGTATAGTTTTTAAATTATCTCTTAAAGGTCTATGTCCTGTTGTCGATGAAATCGGCTTTTATTACCTTAAAAAAATACATAATTCTGCAGTATACTGACAAGTTGCAGCTCATTACCGGAAAGTACCCCCTCTGCAACAGTTAGATTATGTTTCTCAAGGTTAAGAAAAAATTCTCAAGTTCCCATGAACTTAAAAAAATCGCTTCCTGAGAGATAAAAATCGAATGATACAAAATCTATTTAGGCAACGCTGATGTGTTTTCTACGAATTGTGAAATTGTCTTTGGCTTTCGCAGGTATAATTCTATCCAGCTTGCAGTGATTGATTCATAAGAAATATTATCGCGAGTTCTTAGTACGCTCAGAGAGCCTATTCTGGAATTAGACCCTTTGATGATTAAAACGCAGAGAATTTGTTGGAAGAAACTCGATCCTTGAAATATCCAAAGCCGATTTAAATGCAAGTGTACGTCTCAAAATTCTCCGAACAGCTGGACTGAGGTATTCTAGTGCCACTGAAAAGTTTTGCCGACCAAACATAGCGCACCAATAGTAGTGATGGGTAAGTTTTTTTGTGGTTGATAAACCTCTTTTTATTCACTAACTCCAAGTTTTAGGCTATGATGTACAATGACCGTTTTGCAAAATAATTCAGTCTGTGAATTAAGGTATTCCTTGCCATTTTTGACTTTTTTTAACCAAACTTTTGAAGTTTGTTTTACACACAGATTTTTCAAAGAAAGACAGCCTTTGCAGACTTAGTTATTCGAATCGCTGATGACATAAAGATAAACATTGTTTAAGTGTTTGGCAATAACAGAGTTTATTAAACCGCACAAGCCAGTAAATTGAAACCTTGAGTGAGACCCCATAATTTTTTCTTTCACCCCGTGCCAAACTAATGTTTCAACAGCTTTCTTTAAGTTTTCTCAGTAGGCGTTAGAATGTCCGGATGTATTCAGTAATAAGCGATTTATCCCCTCGCTTCTAGAGGATTCAAGACTTTATGATGAACGACGGAAACTCAAGCCTATTTCACTTTTTAATTTATGAGATTTAAAATTGTTCAATTCTTTACAGCACTGCAGTAGTCAAACCGCAGAATTGTAGCAAGGAAGCGAAAGCGATATCATAATAACAGAAAGGCGCAAAATTATATGCCGCAGGTAAACGAGCTGTTAGCCAACAGATTATAAGTGAGCCGCAGCTGTGAATATAATGAACTGTTGAATCCTCATTCGGCCGTGAGCGGAACTTCTCAGCCACACACGCGTGGACTCACGCGCGTTATAAACATTTCAATTGTGCTCTGATGAGCGCCTTCTCACTTGCAGAAGACAAAGAGAATGATGGTGAAAAGGTGGAAGAAGAAAAGTCTAAGGAACTGAAAATCTGTGCGCAGTGTAACAAAAAGATAGAGGGGAAGTTTTTGCTGCGAGCTTTAGACCAGTTCTGGCATGAAGAGTGTTTGAAGTGTTCGTATTGCAATACTCAACTGTCTGATTTAAGCTTCAAGTTTTACATCAAAGGAGATCAAATACTTTGTAAGCGAGATTACATCAGGTGAGAAGTTTTCTTGTTATAACAACAGTTCTTTTATTTATTCTGCAAGCCGAAATCTGAAGGAAAACTCGTCAAATCTGTTCGAAAGTAAAACGAGTAAAGCTCAATGACTTCCTGTAATGCTGAAGCGCACGGACTGGATGACTCTGTTAAACTATATTGTGGCACTGAAAACAGGGTTGCATCTTCGATGAGATATATTACTTAGCGCTGTAGCTAGGATCAGAAGTTTAAAAATGGCGTAATATCGATGTAGCAAAACTCTTTCCCGCAGGAGAAATACGACAGCAAATCCTTTCATTATTTTTACCTGAAAGTAATATTCTTATGACGTTTTATATTTTACATTATGGTATCAATAATTCATAATGTTTATGCTCTGATCACGAACACATGATTTAAACTTGAAACATATCGTGGCATTATGTTTTGTCTTGGGAATCTTTCATTTCCGTGCATGGAGGTTAAATCGCGTTGCGAAACTGTATTCCACATTAACAGGATTAAAAGATTTCGAGGTTTAAACAACTTTCAAGAACCCCAAAAACCTGTTAACATAAATTAATGAAATTCATCTTTATCCGGCACTATCCGTCAAGATGCTCGTTAATCCTTACTCAGTTGCCCCTCTGTTTAAAATCGGGGTTATTTTCGTTCGATCTTAACAGAAAATGTACGGTAATGAATCCAAAAACGCCTTTACAAGGGAAGTTTGAAGTTTACTCTAGCGGAGACACTTAAAATTAGCGACGACGTCAGTGCGATATTTGTGTTCTCTCGTCAGAGAGATGAGAGGACTGAATAATTTATGGTTTTAGCTCTAAGATTTGAAGAAATATGAAATGAGGTTTCTTGTGGGAGGATATGCGGTTTCAAAAACAATCACGGAATATTTTATGCTATAGTTCTTTAACTTGAAGTAATTTTTTGTGATAAAATTCGTATATAACACGAAAATGGGTCCTGGATTACCTTGATGTAGACAAAAATCCCCCCCAAAAATTGTTGATTTTATATGTGTTCTCTTAAAACTCAGCCAGATTTGATACATACTCAGAACCTGTGGTTTTCCTGCCACCAATGAACTTCTGTTAAGCTACTGAAAAGTTCAATGCTTAATATATATAATGTCAAGGAAACTAGAAGGCTCAAAATCTAAACAAGAGCAGTGACGAGACTGAGTACATGATGAACAAAAACCCACAACCTACGGAAAAATCGACCCCATCTGAAGGATGTATCTAGTAACTACATTTCTTTGTTTCATTCAAGAATAAAGGCAACTAAAATCGTAAAAACATGTTCTTTAGTTTTTGTATTGTGTGTTTCTGAATACATTGAACAGTTTGTTTTCGCGTGACTAGCCGCACGTTGCCCGGCTAAGGAAAGTTTGATTATCAAGTTTATGATAAACTTGCAAAACAGTTAAGAAAGTACTTTAAAGGTGCAAAAGATTTAGCATGTAATAAATTATTTTCGTAAAAAAAAGTTCGTGCATGGCTGGTATAACGAGGTGTTTTGTCCTGACCAAGAGTCCCATTCGAGGCCCTTCCGAGTTTTCTAGCAAAGTTTTCTGGCATCGCGTTCTAAGTCCCTACCTCAAACTTCATGATGTTTTGAGTCTGGTCTTCCATTCCACATGGATTTCCAACCGCACATTCACGAGTTTAACATGACATACACAGAAACAAAATGTCAAATACTCGCAAAAAAATAGTTCGTGTTCTGAATGATGCGGCGTCGCGCTAGCAACGAATTATTTTCAACGGGTATCTGACGGTGTCATATGCGGTATGATTTGCAACTGATCAATTTGTTTCCTTTCCGTGGCATGCTTGTTCCTTGTTCCTTGATTTTCTTCCTTGAATATTATTCTTTTGAGATGTACTTCCATAAACGAATATTCTTTAAAATCTTATCTAGAATCTGAACAACTCAAGGCTGAAACTGAGAACTTTAAAAGTGGTGATGCAGAAAATAGAATGAGTTGTTGAGTAAGTTTCGGTGCCTTGACAACTTCTCGGCTTGAGACTGTTTCTTGATCGCTTCACGCGAATTTTTATACTGAGTATTCCTGAGAGGCTCAGACAATATAAATAACTTAATGTAACTTCTAATAAAAAAGGCCCTGTGTCAAAATTTGCATCTTCTTCTCAATCTACATCTCACCGAGCAAGCTGACGAACCAGATCAGTCACTTTTTTTATCCATGGCGGCGTTGCCTTTTTCCTTCTACATTCCATGAGAATATTTTATACAATTTAGGAACTGAAGAATCTGGCAGCCGTTGGTTTTATAACATATAGAAGGTTATTCTATTTATGACTGGATCGATCTCACAGGCCAGTTCAGACTATTGATAGGCAATTTCAGTTTGCATATCATCTGCTCTTCCTATTTTGAGAGGGTAGCCGAAGTGATAGAAAGCTTTTTGCAGTGCTCAATAAAAATTCAGTACTTGGGAAATTCAATCAGCAAAAGTTCATACTATTTCGTGGCTATCGTGCAATTTCGTGGTTTTATTGAATAAACAGTAAAGACTTCATTAATTACGTTTTGAAGAGTACAATTAAAGCGACTTCCGTTCCTAAGGACTTAAAGACTATCCTAACAGTAACAGCAATGAGACTAAAGTGAAACATCACTGAATTCACATTTAATGCTGGAGGAGAGATCTTGCAGCGTCAGAAACGTTTAAAACATCAAACTACAGGCGAAATTCTTAGAGGAATTGAAAGGAATTTTCCGGCCACGGTTTTCTTGGCGTCGTCGTAACTACATCCTAAATCACATAATAGCGATTACAGAAACGCATATCAGTAAAATTTCAAATGAAGACACTCTTATTTCCTGCAATTCCATGCTCACGTCGCATATTTCAGTGTCCAAAAATTGTTTGTACAATGGATTGCTAAAATAGCTAATACTGAGTGACCCTGTGCTAAAATGTTAGAGATTAGTGTTTTCTGAGGTCATCTCTTGAAAGTTCGCGTTCTATATGGAATGTTGACGGTCGAGACTCCGCAACTTTCATCAGAACTGGAAAAAAAAACATAGTGCAGTGAGCCAAAATTTGATTTTTTTTTCTCAATCAGAGTTCCCCTCTTTCTTCGCCTTGACTCGGTTAAAGTGTCAACGCACAAATTATTTACAGCTTGATACTAAACAAAATACTTGAAAACTCCTCGTAGATGTTAATCCTAGAATCTTTTTAATCTTATTTCAAGCAGACAGAGCCGGGTTAGGTTCGGTCGGTTCTTAACATCGGCGCTTTGATTGACAATTAGTTTTATTGTTTCATCGCAACGACTTTTGACCCGTAATAAGACTAAAGAAATTGAAAATCTGAGAGAAAGAGACAGGAATGAGAAAATAACAAAACAACGCGTAAGATAATAAATTATGGTAGCTTTCTGAGTGCTCTTCAAAATTTTCAAGTGCAGAATAATGCGATAATAGACAGCTGAATACACGAAACAATTGTGCTAACTAAACTAAGGTTTTAACACGACAAGAAGAGCTGACAAATCTTATTCTCTCTCGCTGGTATGCCGTCGTCTAGGTTGACATTCATCTTGTTTTAATGTTAAATTTAGTTGTAATATCTAATTGCCCGAAACTTGAAACAAAAATCTGGCAGATGTTCTTTAGCGACTTCAAGGTTATCAACTACCAGGAGATAACTTCAGCTCTGCGCATGTGGATAACTACAGGACAAAAGGAAAAAAAAGTCAAAGCCGAAGGCCTTCCCAGCTGATAAAATGATCCCCACTGTACATGTTATAAGCATTGTAATGCCAATTAGCCGTTTTTGTTTTAAAACAATCGTACAGCTCAGCCTTGACCTTAAGCAGAGCTATAATAGATTTTCCCTTCATCGCTTTGGTGGAGCATGGAGAGCACTTTATTGAAAAGTAAAATATCTGAAATAGTAAATGATATTTCCAAGCCACGTTGGACGCGCAGCTTGTAAAGTGAAATTGATTCTTATCCATGTTGTTTTCTATCTTTATCTTTTTTGTTTTGCTGTTTTTTTTGGAGGGGAGGGGTAGGGATGGAGGTTCGTGAAACAATTCACATTTTTGAAAGAAAGTTCTGCTTCTTTGCCTAGTTTTACCTTATCATAATATTATCACAATATCTTTTGTTTCCTTTTATCTAGGTTGTTTGGAGCCACAGGAATTTGCTCTCGATGCTTGAAAATCATTCCACCGCTAGAAATGGTCATGCGGGCTCGTGAACACGTCTATCACTTGGACTGTTTCGCCTGTCACGTGTGTCGTTATAGATTCTGCGTTGGAGACAGGTTCTACCTTTATTACAACACAATCCGCTGTCAAGATCACTATTATGGCGACAGGGGTTACTTTTATCAGACTCCTTTCTTTTGGTGACTCAAGGGGATCTCAGTTTCTCGTGTCAACTCCTCTCTCAGGCTGTTTCTCTCATTTCAGGACCACCGTGTCAAACAACAGGGAAACTGGGATCAAGTCTGAATTTTGATTCGCTTCCTAAACATTTTTCTCACTAAGATTGGAAATCCATTAATGCGTTCACAATCATATGAGTGGGTTTCAGGCCTTGTACTTTTTAGCAAATTTCTACTTTGATCAATAATTGTTTTTGTTTATTGCAATATTTCGTACTGATAGCTTTTGAAGGAGATAAAAGAAAGGTTGTATTTTGTAGTAACAAGATCACGAGCATCTCGAAAGAGCTTGTCTGTGTAAAAATCTATCTAAAAGATTCAAAAGTCCAATTACTTTAAAGAGAAATAAAATTTTGCTTCAACACTTATTATACACGAAGTCTACTATTTTCCTGTGCTCTGCTTGCTTTCCATTTATCGATTTCCCAGGTACAAACCTAAAAGAGCCTTTAACAATAGAGCCTTACAACGCATCTTGTTCTTCGGACCTTTCATTTTTGGTAGAAGAATGAATCGGAAGTGAAAACCCGAAACGTTTCTTCAGGAAGATTCATTTTATTAAGTTACTGACCCTCTGTGGATGGCAGAGGAGATACAGTAACTGTTTTGAATGAGTAAAATGTTTTTAAAACCCTTCCTTATTTTTTAAATGATAAAGCCAGTAATTGACTTCACGAGTACTTGGGTTCAGTCATTATTTATCGGGGGGGAGGGGGATTGGAGACTTTTTGGGGATCACATGGTTTCCAGGGGATCAGTCGTCGCCAACAGAGAATAAAGGGGGGGAGGACTATGGAAAATTGACAGCCAATTAAGGGCAGGGGATCATAGGAGTGTTACAGATCCAAAATCGGCCATCCTCCCTCCCCCTGCGATTAATGATGACCGGTCCCTTCGATTTCGTTGCAAAAACTAGTGACTGTCATCAATTTTTATCGGTTGGTGCGCGCACAGCACAGTAGAAATTTCTTTCCGTTTCATTTTCGTAGTATATGAATCTATAACTCCCTAATTTTGTAAAACGGGCATTTTCTTGGTTTTTAAGTAATAAGGAGATTTTAGTTTCTGACAGATTCCGATGTCAACCCGGGGCCTTCTTCGGTACCGTCTGGAAGCTTAGGGTTATGTTAGTATACAAAATGGTACTCCAGTCTGTTCGCCGGGAGAGAAATGATTTGAGAAAGAAGGAAAATCGTCCTGCCAACAAATCAATTGCACAAGAGCCTTGATGTTGTTTGTATTAGATGATCAAATGTTGTCAAAACCCGATGTCTGTATTGTAGCATTTAATTCTGACAGACTGCTCTGTTTTTTTTTTTAATTTTATAATAAACACATTTGAGAGGAATGAGGGTATTCAAACGCTTATCATGACCTTGTATGCCTTTTCTGTAAAAATACTGCTAAGTGGTAACTTTTTTTTTAGCTTGAGGCTAATTTATCTCTACCTTACAAAGTACCAGTCCTCTCATTAGAATTCCTGAATTTCTTTCTAGAGTCAAGAGATTTTCAGAATTCGATGTTCCAGAGTACTTTTTCATTCGGTATCTGAACGAAGTCTTTCTCCCAAAAACGTACTTGACAATAATAAGATGACAATTGGAAAACGTTTTTAGTATATAAACATCAGCGGAATACCAAGTGAGCTTTTGCGCGAAAACATGATATCTTCACGCGTAAAGATAACATGTCATCTTCACACGTGAAAAGATCATTGTCGCTATGGTTCATACAGAAATCGCGCCTTTGATGTAGCGCCTTTTATTTAGTATTTTATTGGTGTTTATATGATAAATAGAAGATATTATATGGCCGCTTGGAGATACGAAATTCCTCCTCTCTTGTTAAAAAGTATTCGCTCGTCCGCCTCGCTCACTCGTGAAACATTTGTCAGCGCTCGAAGATAAATTTCGTATCTCCGTGTGGCCATGCAATATCCTCTTTTCATTGCACCGAAGATGCTAAGATACAAATATATGATTAAAAGAAAAAGCTAAAGGGTCTTTGGAGTTATCACGTTAAAGCTGATGGACAAAGATGAGAAAACATAGGAGGTATGCAGTCCAAAGCATTCTACTTTTTGATCGTGAGTTGGTCTCTGCCTGTCCTTTTTCAAACCTCTCTAAAATGGTGTACCAGGATCAGGGGAGAAATCACCGGAAGTCACACATAGTAAGCCATGTCGTTGACGTTGAAAATGCTTGTGATGTCATAGTAATCAGCCTCGCAAAGTACCACCTGAAAGTGGAGGAAAAACTTGTCGCCGACGCAGAATCTGTACTGGCAGATGTGACAGGCGAAGCAATCAAGGTGATACGTGTGCTCACGAGCCCGCATCACCATTTCCAGAGGTAGTATCGTTTTGGAGCAGTGTGCGCATTGTCCAGTGGCACCAAATAACCTGGAATGAAAATAAAAGCTAATATGTAAGGATAGCCGAGAGAGGAGTGGGCATAACATCTACGGGAAACGTCTGAAGAAAGAATGATGCAGTACGGCGATGTCACATCGGTAAAGATTCTTTTTTTTTTTTTTTTCAAAATCTCCTGAAGGAGATGGAACACAACGAAACAAGGCAACATATGGGGGTTAGCTCTCAAACCTGGGGCCTGTGTTACAATTTTGATTTTTGTTCAAATGGGGGCTAAATTTCAATTTCCTTGTTTTTTCCTCTGTCCAGAGAGCAATTTTATTAAGCGAGCCATCGCAAATTGCAAAAGGCCTACCTTTATCAAATAAGCTTCAGTGAAACCTATCCAAATTACGACATCGACTAACAAATTTAAATTTCTTGGGAAGAACTTGTGAACTTTTCAGCGAAAAGAACGCTACAATGTACAGCATTAAGTACATATGACAATAAACAACAATAAATACAATTGAACTGAGGTGAAAAGTGGGCTTAAGTAACCTAATACTGAATATATTCCATTAAAAGACCTTAAAATATTCAGACAAAGCCATTCCCATCATTAGTGTCTATAACCATGTTGGCCAGACTCCAGAGTGCTTCTTAGAGTAATCTTTTGTTGGAACGCTCACAGATTTAACTGAGAAACGCCCCTTTGCTGCCCAAAGATTCACGATATGAAAACGTTCGACTGCAATCTAATACAATAATAAACATACTTCTTGTCATATTAAGGTATGATCAGATCTTTATCAGCTCAAATAACGTCCATTTTTAGTCTGCAACATGGCTCTCCCTCATTAGTTATCGCCTTGGCTGGGG